AATAATTCAATATTACAATAAATTGACTTGACATTGTATTGTTGTATATTGTTTTGCATGAGTGAAGGGTTTTGCTGATGTATATCAGTAAAACACACATCATTTCCTACATTCATTTCAGCTAGTGAGTATAGCCAAGTTTATTCTTGACCTTGAAAACAGCAAAACAATCTCACCTCAAGGTCTGTTTAGTAGCTGCTGAGGACCTTTGGCTAAAATACTTGCTGCTGACCCTGTCCACAGCAGTACATTAGCTAGCTTCCGTGCTGGTACAACTATCTTCTTCTCCAAACTGGGGACACACTGACTGCCGTCTATGGATAAGTACCTCACATAGATCCCGATGTTTACCTTTAACCAGCAGAACACAAAACACTTCTCTTTTTTTAACGGCTTTTGAAGGTACTGACAAATTATTTTGTCCTGCTAATAGGGGCATCATGAGAAAACTCTTTTAAGTGTCATTCTGGAATGTAGTTAAAAATTAGGTTACTGGTATCTTGGTTGCATTTGGAAAAGTCATGTGGTTTGTGCTGCTTGGCTCTGTTTGGGTTAAAACATGCAACAATTTCACACTTCTAGCCACAACACAGTCAGTGGACACATAGCTATATATGAGAACACCTGGTTTCATGCTCCACAAGAGCTAATAATTCTTCCTCCCGTCCTCACTCCTCCGTCCTCTAGCCTGACCCACAAATCAATTGAGGATCACTATAATTGATAAGCTTACAATATCTTGAATGCAGGCAATCATGCTCTCTCCAACCTGTCAACTGCAGCTGCTACAGTTACTTAAAAGGACTCCACCGAAAATGTATCTTGTCAGTAGGAAGCGCTAGCCCACTGTGGACTTGAAAGGTGGCTTGGAAACGTCTGAAAGGCAAGGTCTCTGGCAATGGACAGCAGCTGTAGTCAAACAATTGCCTCCCTTACTTTCAGCCGATGGTATATTTAATAATGTTAGAGGAGTTTCTGAACATACTGAACATGTGGGTGGGTTGAGAAGTGGATTAAGCTGCAGGAGTGGTTTGAGAAATTTCAATGGATGTTTGGATACTCTTTGACACTTGTTTGGCATGACTGGGTTTTGCTTTTGGAATCCACCATCCTTGCAGTGAATGCAAGCTGACTGCTGCTGTAGTTTTCCCTGAAGGAGTAAGGAAGAATCCCAAACTGCAAATTCCTCGAGCTAAAATGCTCCAGGGCAAATAGCAGAAAACTAGAAAAAGTGCAACCAAATAAATGTAAACAAAGACACGGGGTAAATGCATCTTTAAAAACAATACGTAAGAACGCTGTTAATTTATATTCTCTTTTATCTAATACATCAGTGGGAGAGATTTTGTATGAATGAGACTGCGGCTCATTCTGTTTGTATTTAATCCACTCTGTTCTTATTCTGATGGTTTAAGCACTGTGTCGTCTACAAGTGGAGCTGACAGAAATCAACAAGGGAAACAAAATATCCACTACAAATGTCTCTAACAAGACTTATGTGGGAAAAGGCTGAATGGGATAAGGGTATTGATTTTCATCATCTTCAGTGGAGCCATAACAGCCCACAGGGAGCCGCCAACACAGAACACAAACACACATATTGTTCCTTCCTTTTTCCTCATTTGTCCTTTGTTCTATTTGTCTTTCGCTATTAAAGGTTTACAGGACAGAAAAAAAAACTGAACAGAAGATGAAGACTTGCAGCCAATTTCCAGCAGTGTAAAAGAGGCTCTGTGTTATATTAGAACATAAAATAAGACAAATGTTAAGGCTGGCTGATGACAGACTGGCAGCCTAGCCAGTGTGTTTCCTTGCTTATCACCCATTGCATGCCAGGAGAGAATTCAGTGCACACATGACACTGAAACAATGGCCCATAAATGTCATGCAGGAGTTAAACTATACCCTCCTTCTTGTCAACAACATCCAAGTCGTACAACTCCAATTTTTTTTGCTACCTCTAATCCAGAACTTAACTAATAATTAAAACTTAGTGCTAAAAAAAAGGAAGGAATAGACATGATCAGACAAGATGCCTCACCTCAGCCAGATAAATATATATGATATTGTACTATATTGACCATGAACAGTACTATGAGTAAGTACAGAATGGTGGGATGAAAAGGTGAGCCAGCTGGGGCCCTTTTGTGTGGAGTTTGCATGTTCTCCCTGTGCTTGTGAAGGTCTTCTCCGGCTTCCTCCCACAGTCCAGAGACATGCAGGTTAGGTTATTTGGTGCCTGTAGTTGTGACTGTGAGTGTGAATGGTTGTTTGTCTCTATGTGTCAGCCCTGTCAAACCTGTCCAGGGTTCACCCTGCCTCTTGCTAAATGTCAGCTGGGATCGGCGTCAGGCTCCTATGACCCTCTAAAGATAAGCAGTAGGCTAATAGATTGGATGGATGGATGGATGGACGTAGGAAATGTAAATATTGCAACATGTCCTCCAAATTAAACAACAAAAGTTGTATGCCCTCTAGAATGATCTGATTTGATGCCCCTATTGACAGAACAGCATGATTTGTATTTGCTTTTCCAAACAATAAAAACCATCTCCAACAATCTCCGTCATGATTGTAGTAATAAAAATGTGTTGAAGGTTCTGGAACGATGATGGACCTACTTTAGAAAACAACATAATTGGGAAAGGTTAAAGTCAGATGTCCATCTACACCAGCCTCCTCTCTACCTGACAGACTTCCTCCTTTGCTCCCTTCATGATTCCTATAGGTGTGAGAGGGCTTTGTCACTTGAACGTAAACATATCTAATTTAATGGGATTTGCTGAAACAAGAAATGCAGTCGTTGTTTTTGGGAGAACAACCTCAAATATTGTAACTTAATAATTGTAATTAATTAATTGTAACTTGAGTAACTAATTGTAACTAATTATCACAGCCATCAAACCTACCGTTTCAGGTGTGATTAAGTTTTACTCACCAGCTTTCTGTAAAGCCATTGTACAGAGGTACAGACATAACAACAACACTAGACAGCTCTACAAAGTTGTCCGGAGGAAAAGCAACCCTTCGGTTCAGTGTTTGTCCCAAAAGAACTTTGACATGTGGACAAGAGGAGCGAAGGAGCAAACAGCCAACACTGCAATTTGTGGACGATCCACTCTAATCCCTCTCTACTACCTTCTGTGTTTGACTTCCTCCATCTGCAATCTCTGTTGCTCTATAACAAATTCAGCCAGACCATTATTGCAACTTCAAAGTCTAAAAACCAAGAAGAGAGTCAGAATAAAAATAAATCTCAGCCTTTCAGAATCTCTCAGACTATTTAGCATGAAAACCTGTTCCAATCAAGAAATGTCATTAAAAACTGTGTCTTTATGTTGTTGATCTTGAGGGATATTAAAGGCATGCTTTATTAAATGTTCTCTCAGGATGATATCAAAGTTTCATCCACACCACAAAAGCCCCTAAGATTTAGTTTACAACTAATATATTTTCATGCTTACAATATATAAAACTGTACCACAAAATAATTTTAAAGGACTGTTAAATTAATGATAAATGACTCTTATACTGAAAAACTGAATCAAGTGAAAGGCTAAAACAAATCAGTAGTATTAAAGATTGTCACAGAGACAGTGAGGAATGTCTTCAAAAGATGTTATCGACATTTCTTTCAAAAAAGACTGACTGTTACATCATGTTAAGTGACCTGCCTGGTATTTATACATCTGGCTGTGAATCTGCTTTCAGTCGCTCAGACAAATTGAACAGGGACAGCTCTTTATCATTTCGAGCTCATCTAAAGTGGAAAAGTGGCTGTTTCATGCTTTGATTGCGATTTTAATTTGGAACTAAGGGTAACTAAGCATTTCTTCTCACACACATACAGTACAAACAGATACCTGGCGACAACTTGATGTCGTGTCACTGATCCTCTAGATGTGATGAGTATTACAGAATATTGATTACTGCCTGTGCTTTTATCAGCCGTTTTTCTACTACAAGGAGACGCTAGACATCCAGTGGGCTGTAAATCCCTGTGACAAGACGCAAAGTACTTCACCATCATTTAATGTAGACACGCTGTTAGCTTTCTTGTCATTTGAGGGATTTGTGATCAACTGAAGATCTTCACAAAATATATTATAGATTTTAAAATCAAAAGCAGTGCAGGTTGCAGTTTTCCCCTTCATGAGGATGCGCTGTATCATTATTAGTTGGTCAGACAAAATAAGCAGCATGATGTTTGCTGTTTCTGACTATTTTTGATCTTCCATATTCAAAATGACCCTTCCATTAATCAATAATGCAAAGAACCAGTGGCAGCCTTAGTTGTTACCCATGGCAACAGCTACAGATCAGATGTTGAAAGGTTGTAACAATCAATTTAAACATGATCACTAAGACTACAGCTACTTATCACTCAGGCAGAAATGCTAAATACAGTGCAGGCTATCCATCAGTAGCAAACCATCTTAGAGCGGAGATTACCAAGCAAACAAAACTAACTGCTCAGATTACTTTAGAAGATATGAACGCCCAACCTCTTGCCACTCCAAGGCTCTTTAACTGTCTGGGGGTCAGGTTCAGAACCATGGAGAGCGCCGGGACTTTCACAATTACTGCTCTCATTCAGAATTACTCCATATAAACCAAGGAAATCCTAAAATCTCTCTACTGATTGGACACTCCCATGCTTTGTTACCGTAGTTTAAAAAAAAAAGAACAAAAAAAGAAACAAGAAACCTTTCCTGCCTGCTCTCCACAAGTCCCGGCGCTCTCCATGGTTCTGAACCTGAGCAGAACCAAGTAGTTGGACACTCTCCAAACTCCCCACTACAGTTGGCACGGGAAGATTATAAACTAAATATCTACCGGTCTGATTTCTGTTTCTGACTTCACTTCTGAAGTCTCCTTGAATTGATTAGAGCCGATAAAACGAGCTTACAAAGGAGGGACAATACAGCGCACCTATGTTTTCCCTGGACCCCAGTTTGAGAAACACTTCAGGAGGAGTGTTATAACAGAGCTTCTCATACCTGTATCGGCAGAATGCCCCCTGGTCCTTCCACATTGTTGGGCGAGTTGTCGAACACCCGGTCCCGGTACAAAGACCACAGCCCGACGTTGGGGAGGAAAAGAAGAGCCGCTATGAGCAGCCCGGCGAACTGCAGCAGCCTCTTCTCTTTCCGCCTCATCTCTCCGGGAGAAATCGTGTGAAGCAGCGGCGCTGGAAACTAGCGAGTGCAGACTCAACGCTTTTTCAAGCCAAGCCAACTTTCACGCTGACTGGGGGAACAGGCTGCTTTAAGCTCGTTTAAATATCCTAACAGACGCGACGTCCGGTCATGATTTTCAAAATAAAACCCCCTTAGACTTATACATAGACATATCACAAGTAGCAACAATTGAAAAGTAGGCTTAACAAAAAAGACAGCTCCATGTAAAATTTATTAATTTTCATTGCTTGTACGCACAGTAATGATCATGGTGTTTTCAAAGGTTGCAAAAAATGATCAGGTTAAATACAGGCATGCAATATATGACTCAAACATGAGTCGAACTGGCTAATTGAATCATGTAAGCAAACTTTTTTTGGAAATGCAGACAAGGCAGACATAATCAGTATAGGATATGTATGAGAAGCATACATCAACGGGTTCAAATGAAACATAAAACAATAATTACAAGACCTTAAAGCAATCAAAGTAAATCACTTGTCACAGAAAAGCTAAATCCATGCAGATGTCTGCAAGATGTCATACATGTACAGCTATATAATAAAAGAACACACGACAACAGATAGCAAGTATATTGCCTCTAAAATGCACTAGCATAATTATTCCTACATGCTGTAAAATTGGAGATTAGCTGGTGTCAAAAAAATCCACGAAATTATACAGTGTGAACACACTGTATAATGCACAGTGTGTTATTGGGCTGTGGGCAGTAACAAAGAAAATTTCTTCCTTACAATTTGGAAGGACCCATACTGTTAGTCCAGGTTCTGCACAGCTCCCATTCTGTAGCAGTTTCTCAGTTTCTGGCGCTGCTGTGTGACTGAGATTTTCTGTCATTTCTGTTTGTTTTATTCTACATTTATTCTCTTAGCTGACGCTTTTATCCAAAGCAACTTACAATTGCTATTACGTCAATTACACTATATGTCAAATACGCTATATGTCAAGTACGTCAGAGGTCATACACCTCTGGAGAAACTAGGGGTTAAGTGTCTTGCTCAAGGACACATTGGTGGATGTGTCACAGTGAGGAATTGAACCCAGGTCTCTCACACCAAAGGCATGCATCTTATGACTACCTCTAGCTATGAGGTTGCAGATTACAACCAACTATATACCCCTCACCTCACCCTCCATGCAAGAAGACCACTCCCTCTGTAGAGATAAAGGGCTCATTCTAAGGTAACAAAAACACAAAGATTCTTTACAGATGATTATACACTAATGAAATAATTCTGATTATGAATATTATACCCCTTGTACAACAATGTGACTCTTATTTTCATTTTTTCCCCATTACCCATCCCTTACAAATGACATATTTGATGCTTTTGTTTTGAAGGTTAAATCACCTAACTTCCTACGGTTTTCTGATGCTCTTCATCAAACTAAATGCAGTTCATTATGAAAGACTTTGAGGTGTAATCTAGTGACATTTGACAAACTTTGTTCTCTGAATGTTGTGCTTAAAATGTAGTTGAAAATGAAGAGTGTCACTTTTGTCCTGTTGTCCTGTAGGCTATAGGAAAATTCTGGCTACATGCTTGTAAACTATGCAAAATATGTCCAATAAACATCATTTGAAAACGATCAAAAAGCATATTCATTGTCCCTGTAGCAGCTCCATACACATTGAGACTGAAAAAATGAGAGAAATGGAAGTCCTGTGGTGTCTGACTTCAAGTTATACTTCCTGCTTGGTGTAAGATCCCTCTGCACATGACATCGGTATGTGTGTGAAATTGTTTTGATTTTGGTTTCTCCCTTTATGTGTATGTGGTATGCCTGTTGTGTTGTGGGTTTTGTCAGTCTATTCATCTTCTCTGGCTTTCTCTCTTCCGCTGTTCCTGTTTCTGCTCACATGCTCTGTTCTCTGCCACATTAATCATACAAATAATTCACCTACTACAATGTCTGCCTGGACCACGAAAAACACACCGGGATATCTCTCTGTGGATTCCACCTTCCTGCTCAGCCCCGAACCTGGTCTTCTGCCCAAACTACCGTGCTGCCATTTCCAACCCCAGCACATTCTGTGTTCTTACTCGCTACTACAGTGTTCATCTGGGGGTTCAGAGCACATATCTGACACTTGAAGGGTTGTATTGCTGATCTTCTCAACAAAACAGAACACATCTCCTTCATTCTGACTCAGCTGACATGGTGTCATTTTCACACCATTCAGATAGCCAGGGATTTCCATTAATGTCTGAAAAGACATCAGTGGTTTGAGTGAGGGGATCCACCTTAGTGGTACCTTTCATTTTGTGAAATTGTTGTTTTGCAGTGCAGAGCATTTGAAATCAATCTGCATGTACCACTGGATACTCCAAAACAATACTGGACATTGAACTCAGTTGCCATTGATGATAAACTAAACATAAGTTAAGGTAAGTTTCGAGATTGAAATCAATCACACAATGAAATGTCTAAAACTCATAATGTATGTAAATGACTCATGTTTTTTTTAAAAGCGTGCAAAAAAAGTAGTTGCATCCCTGCAAAACCAAACTAAAACAGGAAATCAAGATTGAAATAATTCAGTGTCTGCATTTGCAGTTCAATAACAGCAACCAGGCAGGAAATTTACAGTATTCCTCCTCCTGACAGAGACTTCAGAGACACAAGTTTACCACGAGCTGGCTTCAATAATCCAGACTTTGCAACTCAATCCATTGCCAAAGGTAAAGCTGGCATATCTCTCCTCCACTTAACAACAACTTCAGCAGCTCTGACACACACTAAAAGATTTTCCCAGATGTTGGTTTCACACTGCACAGGTTTTTGGGTTGGTTGTGATTGGATTATTGAAAGCTTGTGGGTGTTAACTGTGGGAAACATGGCTGGCTGGACTCACCTTGCAGTGATATATTATAGGACATGACTTTTGGGTGAGGTTACAGGTCCAATAGAGGACACTTGTGACCACACCCAACAGAGGTCAAACAAACTGGAACCTTTCAACCAGAAAGGGCAGTAAAATTCTGCTTTCCAGCTTGGTGTTAAGTTACTGTTGTGTCATTTTGTTGCTGCTGCTTTACAGGATGTGTCACTGTCCTCGTCCCAGAGTCTCTTTGTATTCACGCGTTCCTTTTGTGTTTTAAAAGAAAGCTGAAACACATTTTTAGATAACTGTTGCTAACAAAACAAACTTCCATGTGGAGAATATTGTTCTTCGACTGCCTCCCCCCCTTCCTTTTCTGCAAATCTTCTCAAGCTACACTTGCAGACAGAGACAGTGGACATAATTACTGGATTATAAAGAGCACTGTCACTGTGCTCCTCACTTAATTAACACCGCGGATGCTTAACTCTACACTTTGCCCAAATATTATTCCACCTTGGCAGTAACGGGTTGGACCCCCTTTTGCCTTCAGAACTGCCTTAATTCTTCGTGGCATACTTTCAGCAAGGTGTTGGAAACATTCCTCAGAGACATTGGTCCATACTGACATGATAGAATCACGCAGTTGCTGCAGATTTGTCGGCTGCACATCCATGATGCGAATCTCCCGTTCCACCACATCCCAAAGGCGCTCTGTTGGATTGAGATCTGGTGACTGTGGAGGCCATTGGAGTGCAGTGAACTTATTGTCATGTTCAAGAAACCAGTTTGAGATGATTTGAGCTTCGTGACAAGGTGCATTATCCTGCTGGAAGGAGCCATCAGAAGATGGTACACTGTGGTCATAAAGGGATGGACAGTAACAATACTCAGGTAGGCTGTCGCGTTTAAACGATGCTCAGTTGGTACTAAGGGGCCCAAAGTGTGCCAAGAAAATGTCCCCCACAACATTAAACCACCACCAGCCTGAACCGTTGATACAAGGCAGGATGGATCCAGGCTTTCATGCTGTTGACGCCAAATTCTGACCTACCGTCTGAATGTTGCAGCTGAAATAGAGACTCAGACATGTCCTACTGTCCAATTTTGGTTAGCCTGTGTGAACTGTAGCCTCAGTGTCCTGCTCTTAGCTGACAGGAGTGGCACCCGGTGTCGTCTTCTGCTGCTGTAGCCCACCTGCTTCAAGACTCGACGTGTTGAGCGTTCAGAGATGGTGTTCTGCAGACCTCGGTTGCAACGATTGGTTATTTAAGTTACTGTTGCCTTTCTGTCATCTTACACCAGTCAGCCCATTCTCCTCTGACCTCTGACATCAACAAGGCATTTTCGGCCACACAACTGCCGCTCACTGGATATTTTCTCTTTTTCAGACCATTCTCTGTAAACCCTAGAGATGGTTGTGTGTGAAAATCCCAGTAGATCAGAAGTTTCTGAATGAGGATTTAAGTGACTTTTGAGCATGACAGACGGCACCAACAACCATGCCATGTTCAAAGTCACATAAATCCTTCCCCATTCACCATTCTGATGCTTGGTCGGAACTTTTGCGAGTTGTCTGCCTAAATGCATTGATTTGCAGCCATGTGATTGGCTGATTAGCTATTTGTGTTAACAAGCAATAGAACAGGTGTACCTAATAAAGTAGCCGGTGAGTGTATACACACATTTCCGAATCGTTTTTTTGTAATTTATTGAATAATTTCACAATTTATTACTTTACTCATTTCCAAATGTATTGATATGATTGCATATTAGTCAATGTAGTACTTACTTAGTTGTTCACCATTGTCTTTTGTTGAGTTCCATTAAAAAAAACACTGATTTACTTATGGTCAAACCCTCGCACAATATAATGTACCTCACAAAGTTTGTTCACATACTTACTTTTTCATATGAGTGTATTTCCGTTATTCTTCTAAAAGAGTCTTGATGAAATATTTCTGTTTATTTGACCTGTAGGAGCACATTTTACAGCTCAATTCACTGGGATGGAAAGCCGCTTCAGTAATTGCTTATCAGGAAAGTCACGGCCCGGCCCTTTCCGAATGAGCTCTGCTAATGGCTTTCTGCGCACAAGAGTCCATCAGTGGTCTGCCATCAGAGGATATTAATACCGGCATTCCCTCTGCTTTGATGCTCTGTGAATTACCTTGATTTTTTTCCCCCAACCTCTTTCAAC